AGCCTTGTGGTCCACAGTTCCTTTCAAGGTGCACAAATTCGTGCACTGGGCCCCTAGTATTAAACAATACAATTCCAAGTGTCTATTAAGGCCCATAGACTGTTTTCATTCACACTAAATGACCCCAGGCTGCTGTGGTTTGAGTGTCATTTTTATCTATCATCTATCTATCTATCTATCTATCTATCTATCTATCTATCTATCTATTATTATTGACAGTATGATAGGTGTCCCTCATTTACTCCCCGACTGTTCTCCTCTACACGTAGTCCCAATCCCACCTCAAGCCTTCCCCACACTATTGTCTGTGTCCATGGGTTATGCATACATATTCTTTGGTTGATCTCTTCCTGTCCCTTTCACCTCCCTCCCCTCTGAGATCTATCATTCTGTTCAATGCTTCCATGCCTCTGGACCTATTTTGTTTGTTAGTTTAGTTTTTAAATCAGATTCCACATATGTGAGATCATGTGATATTTGTCCATCCATGCTGCTGCAAAGGGGAAGAGCACCTTCGTTTTTTACAGCTGCAGAGTATTCCATTGTGTAAATGTACCTGTGTCATTTTTAGTCTGTCTTCTCCCAGCTTTATTATTATTATTATTATTATTATTATTATTACTGCTGTCAACTATTCTTCCTCTGACTCAAACTTCTTTTAGATTGGCATTTTCAGTTTTGATGGGCCAAGAAACCAGACACATGGTCTTAATACACCATTATGTAAAATAGAGGGAAACTGCCTCTTTGATAGTTTGAGGAATCTTCTCATAATTGATGAGTTTTAGAGATTAGACTTATAACAACTATTTGCTTACTCAAGATTTTTACATATTCTCAGTTCCATACAATTGAATAAAGAACAGGCAAAGTATTATTGAAGTCACAATGTGAGGTTCTATTATTTAATAATGCTATATTGCTAAGTTCATATCTGGGGCTCTTTTTCATTCATTCAAAAACATTTTTGAGCATCTAGTGTACACCAGGGAATGTTCTAGGTGCTAGGGATACAGACAATGATCAAAGTCCCTTAGAATTTACATTCTAATTGGGGAGAGATAAAGCAGTAAGTACTATCAAGAGAAAAGGGGATAATGCAATAGAGCAATTAGGATGGGGGAGCATTAGACAGGATGGCGTATTAGTGAGGGTCTGATGGAAACGGAGAACCACTAGGCTATCACAATATCACATACACACCATCTTTAACATATAAAATAAGGGATTTATTATGGGGATTATAGGAGGCTGATCCTTTTGTGTCTGACAGGTGGGGATGATGGGTGTGAAGTGGGGAGGGAAGCAAGGGCACACTGGAGCCTGCCAGGTGAGCAGAATCCATGGGGTCTGAGTGGAACTCATGCCAATCTCTCAGTGTTTCCAAGCCTCCAACAATGAGTTGTTCTGCAAACCTGGCACCCTTTGTCACGTAGTAAAACATATACCTGGCCCAGGAGTCAGAATAGCTGAAGGAGGCAACCCAGCAGCAGCTGTGGTCCTGTGGGCCTGGCAGTTGGCCTATAAGCCAAGAAGATGAACCAACCAGCAGATAAGCAACAACGTTGGTGAGCACGTTGCTTGGACCTTTCAATTATAAAAAGAATCTGGATCTCGCTACTTTACTTCCATCTTCTAAATCTGGCAGCAAACATCTCTTGTGACCTATACTATCCTGGAATTATGCAGGGAGAATTCTGAGGAACATATCTCCAGCTTATCTAAATTTGCAACAAATAAATCCACTGCCGATGGTCAGAGGTGTCTAAAAATATTTGAGCTGAGAACCTAAAGAATGAGAAGGATTTAGCCATGCAACCATGCCAAGACTTGGAAGAGAATATTTCAGGCAGAAAAAAGGGTAAATGCAAAGGTTCGGGGGCAGTGATATAACTGAGGTTATTTTTAATAATGAGGGTGGGGCCTGGTGAGAGGGAGAGTGGTACAATATATCAGAGGTAGAGGAAGGGACCAGACCACGTGGGGCCGTGTAAAATATGGTAATGAGCATGGATCACTTTTCTGTAAGTGCAATGAGAAGCAAAGTTTTTAACAGGAAAATAGTAGTTTGACCTGATTTACATTTTTTTTCTCTATTGTAAACTAATTTAAAAGTTTAAAAAAAGGCAAAAGGTTAGCACCAAGAATTCTATCATCCAGCTTTGCTTTGCAGAGAATGGGCTTTAGTGAACAGGGCCACTTTTTCCATGACACCGAGCCTCCTGGTAGTCTACGTCGATGACTCCTAGAACACAAGGCACATGAAGCCCTTCAGTTGTGCAGGGAGGAAGTCCAAGTGTGGAAGCAGCAATATTACTTAGAGAACCACTGCAGGAGTTCCAGCCAAAGATCTACACTAGTTTTCTTAACTCACCAGTCTCATTCATATAGTCTCAATTCATGAACTCAGGTTGAAACAAAAATAGTATTACCTCTCCAGATTTGGTCTCAAATTGACTATCGCAATTCCCCCAAACAAAAAAACCCTAAAAGATTTGTTACCACTAAGTCATCCAGAGAATGTTTCACAAATCTTTTTGGGTTTTCCAGAGACTTAGAAGCATGAACAGACTGTTGAACCTCAGAGGGAAGGTAGGGGAGAGTGGGTGGGAAGAGATGAACCAATGAACTTGTATGCATATATGCATAACCTGTGGACACAACGGGGTGGTGAGGGCCTGGGGTGGGGGGACGGAGAGGGCTGGAAGAAGTTAATGGAGGAAAAAGGAAGACCTATGTAATACTTTCAATAATAAAGATTAAAAAAACATAATAATTTCGGGTTTTCAAAGACTTTCCAGAGAATATGCACAACCTCCTAAGGGAAACATATTGAAGGGCGCAATGTTCATGCTAATGTGTAAATCCTACTCTCATTATGTTTACGTTGGTCTTAGACTTGCATATCTTCTATTTTCATCAGACTTGGCTTACTTTACTTGAGATCATGAAAAACTTCCCTAAAGCAAGCTCTTCTGCCTGGATTATCTCTCCCTGCTAGCAATGCTTTCTTGCTGAAAGCCAAGGTTCAAATATTGAAGTGTGCTGAGGTGCCCACTTAATTAAGTAGGAATTAACATTATTATACATATCAATACAAATAAACATCTTTTATACCTTTCTAAAGAAAAAAAACCCAAAATGTTTCTTTCTTTCTTTCTTTTCTTTTTTTAAAGAAAGGGCTCTGGACAGACCATTCATCTTTAAAAAATAAAATAAAAATAAATTTTTAGAAATTGTTATTAACAGAGAAAGAAAATAGAAAAGTTTTGAACTTTAAATAGTTTGCATTATATACTCATCTTTCTGTAATCTTTAGTGACATATCTCCAAACATTCAGAAAAAGGGGAATACTATGCCATGACTTAAGAAATAATAAAAATTTTGGCTCTGATTACTAAACTTTATTAACAACTCTTTTTTAAAAAAATATTTTTATTGATTTTTTACACACTCATCTTTCTGTAATCTTTAGTGACATATCTCCATGTAAACATTCAGAAAAAGGGGAATGCTATGCCATGACTTAAGAAATAATAAATTTTGGCTCTGATTACTAAACTTTATTAACAACTTTTTTAAAAATATATTTTTATTGATTTTTTACAGAGAGGAAGGGAGAGGGATAGTTAGAAACATTGATGAGAGAGAAACATCGATCAGCTGCCTCCTGCACACCCCCTACTGGGGATGTGCCCGCAACCAAGGTACATGCCCTTAACTGGAATCAAACCTGGGACCCTTCAGTCCACAGGCCGATGCTCTATCCACTGAGCCAAACCGGTTAGGGCTAACAACTCTTTTATACATTAATGAACAATTATTTTACTTTCTTTAAAAATAGCTCTTAGATAACAAAATAAATTATCAGCAAATTCAACCATAAATTAAAAAATAAAGTAAAAAATACCCTTGAAGTTTCATAAACGCGAGCACAGTAATATATATATTAGTATTGATTACAGTGTCTCTGTTCTTTGTGTAAGGTAACATAAAGATTATTCCCTTGCCATTGTTGCAAGTTCACAAATTTTATGAAAAGGCTTCACTATTTTTTCCCAGCTTAATTAACTTGCACTTCAGTTGAACACAACAGACAATAATGGTGTTATTAGTGAGATGTGGTAAAAGAAATGGTCATGACCACTCAGCAGATCATGTAAACCTAAAATATCCCCCAGACCTTCCAGTCTCAACCTGTAGATCTCATTATTAAATAATTTAGAAAGAACTATTAGAGATGACTTCATGAGCAGACTGAACTTTGCCACTTTGCCTTTTGCCAGTCACAAACGCATGTATTTTTGCCTTTAAAATGAAACAATACTATTCATTTCCAATGAGACTAGGTGTAAGGGAAAAACAAAGTCATGGATTTTGTTGTTGTTGTTAATCCCCATGGGAGGCTATTTTTCCATTGATTTTTTTAGAGAGTGAAAGGGAGTAGAAGAAACAGAGAGAGAAACATCGATGTGAGAGAGACACATTAATTGATTGCCTCTTGCATGCACCCTGACCAGGGCCAGGAATTGAGCCTACAACGGAGGTACATGCCCTTGACTGGAATTGAACCCGGGACCCTTCAGTACATAATCCGATGCTCTATCCACTGAGCAAAACCAGCTAGAGCAAGCCATGGATATTTTTAAGTTGCACTACATTATTTTAACTATTTAACTAAAAAGTTTAATTACCAGATCAGTGCACCATTTTTTTTTAAATCCTCACCGGAGGATATGTTTATTGTTTTTTGTTTTTGTTTTTGTTTTTTTTAAGAAAGAGAGAGAGAAACATCAACTGGGGATCAAACCCAAAACCTTTTTGGCAATATTGAACGACACTCCAACCAACTGAGCCACCCGGCTATGGCAAGTGCACCAGTTCTTGCTTAAACATGTAATACCTTTGAAAGTAGATTAAAATAATCTTTAAAAATAAGCCAGAGGTAAAAATGAACAGACCTGAACAGCGTGACAAACAGAAACGGAATAATTTCCAATCAGTGACCATTAATGGGAATACTCATTTTATATAATAGCAGGTTTTAACAACCATTTAGCAATTCTTTAAACAGGCACTTGATAGAGTACTTTTTAGCTATCATATTCAATACAAGGGCATCACAGACACACAAAAATATTGCTTTATTACTAAGGATTCAAGATGGCAACTACTTAGATTCCATTGCCAATATGGATTATAACAAATCCAGTGAGTATTTTGTTTTTCAATTATTCATAGAAAATTTAATCCTGATTAAGTATCCTTGGGCAGGAATTCATAGGTAGTTGATGACTGAAACCAACATTTATGTGAAATGCTTCTGTTAATTTAATCTGTGTATATGGCTTAATTATGATTGGGGATTCAATGTAAGAGAAATGAATTATATCAGGATTAAATTAGTACCATATCACACAGTATTTTTTCCTTCTTTCTTTTTTAACATGTAAAACTGCTTGTCCCTTTACCTAAATACTCAAGTTTTAAAGCCCTTTGTCCTTAAAACACATGTAATATATCTAATTTTATTTTTCATAAACTGTCCAAAACTCTTTGCTAATCAAACTAAAACTGGAATTAGAGCAAAATGATAGAAGAAAATGGAGAAAACCCCCACCCACAAATGAACAAAAGCTTATTCATTTAACTATGAATATAATTTATATTTATTTTCTGAATTTTACTTTCAATTCCTTTAAACTCCAATATGAAATGCATTTTCTTTAAAGCATTAAAAAGAAGCAGTTTTTAATCAGTATACTAAACTGATTTCATAACTGGACTTAGTTCAGATATGTATAAGCAAGTAATCATTTAACTGATTACTTTTTATAAGACTATCAAACCTGAGTTAACTATTGACATAAAATGAGGCATTATAAGTGGTGAATCTCTTACCAAAATATCATATAATTCTTTTCCATCTTTATTTCCACATGGAAATCACATAAATCACCTTATAACAATACTCTTCAAAGTTTAAGTATTTTTCAAAACATTTCATTTATTTCCTTTTTCAGTTTTGGTACTGCTTAAATGCAGTTGTATAAATAACATGCTCTGCTCTCTATGTTCAATTTTTCATACCAAAGTATGAAAAAAAAGTCAGTGTATTTGGATCCTTATTGCACTCTGTTTAATCAATTCACTTTTCCTTAAAGAAAATCAAGTATCAGAAGTGAGGCCGACTTTTGTGTCCAGAGGATATGGTCAGTGGTAGTGTTACTGAGGAGAGTGAAGAAACTTCCCAGTACAGACTGTGGGACAGAAAGAGTCTGTAAAGAATAACCATGGAAACAGACTGGCAAAGGATAACACCTATTGTAATAACCTGAAAAGAACAGAAAGAGGATGCTTTTACTGCATGCAAAAACAGAGAATTCAATTAATCACAAACCTATATGTACTTTATATATACATATAAGATATTGCAAAAGTAGGTTTACAATTTTCATATGGAAAACAACACAATCATTAATAAATAGTATAAGAATAAACCCTGTGCTTTGTGTACTCAGAGCTGTAAACCTACTGTGCCCCACCCTGCATATGTACACACACTATCCTTCATCTCTCCATGGGTACATTTTATCAAATTCATTTTCAATAAGAAAATATGACTAATGTTCAGAACTATAATTGTCCAAAGGTTAAATTCCTTTAACATTTTATAGACACCAAAATCAGACAGAAAAAAAATAATACGCTATGCCATTCTCTCCTTACGGTGCATGCACTACAGAAAGTAATGAGAAAAACCTGGCTCCCGGCTAATCTAGTAATGGGAATAAAACATGCCCCGAGTCCTTTCAAAAATCCTCAAGTTGCTTCTCTATTTTTGTAGACTCCCTTCCTATCTACTTACTCTTTGTAAATACCTTAGGCTCAAGACACATTTGTGAGTTCAAGCATATACTGCATGGCTTGTGAAGGGCTCCTGGCAGAACTCCACTTTGAAAGGATGGAGCTGTTCACCTAACAAGGTAGGTATCAACACAATCAAAATGTGGTGCACCTGAACATGGCACTCCAGTCCACAGTCTGTGAAAGCAACTAGACTGATTTTTACTATTACACAGCAAACATTTTTCTTAACAAAGATGTGTTATGAATCCTCTAATTTATGAACGGCACTATGAAATAGGTTATAATATGCACGACAAAACTATTTTCCATCATTTTGCTTATAAACTAAATTTAAAAATTTGTCTTTTATATTTTAAACTAAATTATACCCTCACCAGTTCAGGATTTTGTTTCAAAGTTTTATTTTGAAGAGCTCAAGAAGCCTCTGAAAGGATAAATAGGCCCAATAAGAATTACCAAAAACTATTTTGCTCATATATACTACTTACCTTATCTCTTTGGTAGTCATTAAACATGAAAGATATGCATGCAAGAACTGGGTGGCATAAAAACCACAAGACACAGCCCTGAAACAAATGAAAAGTAAGTCAAGTAAGTGCAGCTATGTCTTTATTTTCAGAATGTACCAGATAAAACACAGTAGGCATATTTAAGAGGTCTTGATTGATATCAACCGGACTTTAGAGAATTTGCAATAAAAAGGTAGAAATAAATTTGCTGTTGCTACTTTGTTTCTAATCAAATTTTCTAGAGTATTTAAAATCTTAAATCTACATTTGGACATTTTGATACACTATGAATATATTAAGTAACAAATCAGTAATTGAGAAAACCAATGTACAAATGTATAATATTTCTGTAAAAAAAATAAGACTGTATATTCATATTTAAAAAAATACATTTCTATTGATTTCAGAGAGTAAGGGAGAAGGAGAGAGAGACAGAAACATCAATGATGAGAGAGAATCACTGATTACACACACACACACAAAGAAATTGTGAAAGAATACACAAAAAAGTGACTGATGGTGGTTACCTGTTTGAGGGTGTTAGTACAAAAGAGAGTGCAACTGGACAAATAAGAATGGGAAGCTTTTTAACATTATACCTTTCAAAAATCTCTTTTCTATTTTTCCCAAAACCTTGGCAACATATTCTCTTTTCCAAAATTAAATTTGAAATAAAATAATAAGTTAATAAATAATAGTTGTTGAGATGCTTAGTATATTGAAAATAAGGGGAAAAAAGATGTAGAAAACGTGTTTACTATGCTACCTCTTATATAAAATGAAGGGAAAAACAAAGAATTATATATTAAAAATTCTCTGGGAGGATGAATTAAAACAGCAGTGATTATATGAGGAGGTGATAACTGAGTGGACGGAAGACAGGTAAGAAACATGTTTTGCTACTCCTTAAGTACTTTTGAATGTTTGAACCCATTCAAAAAGTTAAATTATAATATATAAAAATAAATGTTTAGGTTCAATGAAAGAGTTCGATATTGTTTTAAACATAAAACAAAGAAGAAATTAGTTTTTAAACATCTTAAATATATAACCACCTTTCAAACAATAAGCACTGCTTTCCTGTAAAAATTCGGAAGCAAAATGGCCTTTCCTTGCCTGTTTGGGTTTCTAGGCTGCAGCCGCTTGAAACTGTGCACCAGGAATAAAGGAGTCTGGCCCTCCTTCCACCGCGGATAAAAATTCGGAAGCAAAATGGCCTTTTCTTGCCTATTTGGGTTTCTAGGCTGCAGCCGCTTTAAATTGAACTGTGCACCAGGAATAAAGGAGTCTGGCCCTCCTTCCACCGTGGCCTCTGACTCCTCAGAGATTTCTGTGGAGCAGGGTGGGCTGAGGAACAGCTCATCAGAGTGCTATTAAAGTTGTCACGATGAAGGAACATGGATTCTCTCAATCTGACAGGAAAACATAACCTTCTATGGAGGAAGGCTTGCAGTGTTACTGCCCAACCTCTCTCCTGATCTTTCCCTTTATTAGATGGGTATAGAAAAAAAAATCAAATTTGCTTTTAGATCTCACTAGCATATGAAGGACAGTGGGGGAATAAAGTGAACATCTCATATGGAGGCAGTGAAATGGCTAAAACATAATATGGACTCAGCTTCCTGACCCATCTGCTCATGCCAATGGATAGCTCCTCACAATTTGTTTGAAATCACTGCATAATTCTGAGTAACAGTATCTAGTAATAGTCAATTAGTAACTGTTTTTTGAGAAATGTAAACTGTATTCTAATTTAAAATTTTTTTTAAATTCTGACACTACAGAAAAATGTCAATTCCCTATTGGTAAAGAAATCATGAACCAGACAAAATTGACCTGCCAAAAATTACATGGAAACCACTGTTCTATGGGTTCTATAAAATGAGGATAGTATCATCCACATGTCATAGGTTGTGAAGATTAAATAAGCACATGAAGGGCTTACAGTAGTGCCTGGCACATAATAAAAGTTTAAGGACTGTTGGCATGTAGTTGCCTATATACTTCCTAAAGAAAGCAGAACAAAGCTGATAATCAGAAGCCATTTTCTAACCAAACCCGTACTTTGGCGAAAGTGATGTAGAACTCTCTTTTCAGGGTACTCCTCTCCACTGTGATGATCTGGTAGAGTCCACAACCTAATGACAATGCCAGGCAAATTCTTAAAATGATTAGCAGGATCCCTGCTAAGTTGTGGTGTGAATAATAGCTGTGAGGACTGGTCTCTTCAAACTGTTCCCAAAGTAGCAAAATACTCTGCAAAAAATAAAAAATAAATAAAAAATACATTTCGAGAAAAAAAAAATCGTATCTGCTTACAATTAGCACTTTTAAACTATTTTAAACATCCATTTAAACATACCAACATTCCTAAGAGGTTCTAAGATTTATCAGACTATAAAGTTGTCAGTTAATAAAGCACATGCAGTCTTTTCCTTGTTGATACCCTAAGCTAGAGAAAACGATTACCAAATGAGACCACATACAAAAGATAAAAAATGCTATTGCTATCACGACTCAAGTAAGATATCTATAAGAATAAAAATAAGTTGAAATGATTAAGAGAATAAATATAAACTTTGGTACAAATCCATCTTTTTCTTCAACACCGTATTTGAAATCAAACTGTCCTGCATTCAAGCCTACTATCTCAGGATAACTTCCAAATATCTCAGTATTTTTTGTAATCTAGAAATAGGTTAGAATTGCTGATTCAGATTTTACTCTTTTTCCATGGTAACCTTCCTGGGTAAAGGAGAATATATTTTTAATATTCATTATAAACACCAAGAGCACAGTTACTTATCCTTACTTCTTTTACTCCCATATTGTTACTGTAAAAGCAAAAAGCTCAGCAAGTTCCTCATCAAGCTGTTCTGTTTATTGCTATTCAGTAGAAATCTGTTCATATTCCTTCCATCTTTACCAAACATCAGTCACTTAAATAAATTACTATAATAATCAGTAAGCCTCTGTGCTTCCTTCACTTCCAACCCAGATCTCAGAATTGTGTCTTCTGTGGCTTCCAAATAATTCATATCAAAACTCAAGTATTGCCCTAACTGGTTTGGCTCAGTGGATAGAGCGTCGGCCTGCAGACTGAAGGGTCCCAGGTTTGATTCCGGTCAAGGGCATGTACCTTGGTTGCGGGCACATCCCCAGTAGGGGGTGTGCTGGAGGCAGCTGATCGATGTTTCTAACTCTCTATCCCTCTCCCTTCCTCTCTGTTAAAAATCAATAAAATATATTTAAAAAAAACAACTCAAGTATTAATTCCATTTCTTAGACCTTATTAACCAGCAACCTCTTCTTTTTCTCATTCTCAAATCTTGCTATCATTCTTGATAGGTGATCTCCTTTGTTATCGGCACATATGAATTTCCTTCTTGGACTAAATATTTGCTCTGTATTGAAAATGTTACTCCTCCACTTACCCAATTATACCCATCTGATTTCTTAACTCACATTTCTTTTTTTTTCATTAAATTTATTGGGGTGACACTGGTTAATAGGATCAAACAGGTTTCAGGTGTGGATTTCTGTTACAAGATCTGTATACTGCACTGTGTGCCAACCACCCAAAGTCAAATCGTCTGTCACCATATATTACAACCCACTCACTCCTTATCCTCCCATCCTCCATTTCAAACTTAACTTTTACAACAAAAAAGTGCTATTATAGAATTACCATTTCCTGCTATCTATGTGAGGTAATGAATATGTTTATAATCATCTCATAAAGTATATGTATACCAAAACATCACATGTACATCTTAAATATATATAATTTCTACTTGTCAATTATACTGCAATAAAGCAGAAAAAAAACCCTACCAATTCCCATGACTCACATTTTTACAATTCGAACTCCCATATTTTCACATATGTATGTGAATACATGACCTATGGAATATACATAAGTATTCATATAGTCTCTGGTTGCATCATTCACCTTGTCTGAATTGTTGAGTACCAGGGTTAGGTCTAATGTATTCTTCACAAATGCTCACATACAGTCTAGGGTAGTGTCATAATCTCAATTCTTAATTTGTATTTGTCCAGGATAATCAAATTAAATTACAATGACATAAAAATTTAAATTTTTAAAAAAGTTATTGAGACATGAGAATTTAACCTGATATTAACACTACATTCCACAAATCCTGAGTCAAACACATTAAGTTGGTAGAGGCTTGTCCTTGTTTTACTTACTTCTAATTCAGTTTTTCATCTTTATTGTTGAAAGTGTTACATATGTCTCTGTTTTTCCCCCATTGGACCCCTTTTAGTCCCCCTCCCTCCCCCCGCCCTTCACCACACTATTGTCTGTGTTCATGGATTATGCATATATGCATAAGTTCTTTGGTTGATAGCTTCCCACCCATCCACCCACTTCCCGGCATTATCTCTTTCTAAATACCATATCTGTGATATAGTCTCTTTCTAAATTCAATCATGTAAATTCAAGACACCAACTTCATTCTGAACCTACTGTACTTACTAAATACTAGAAGTACAGGGAAGAATGAAGCACAGACCTTATCATTCCTTAATGAATTTTGCAACTATTCAATGCATTAAAATTTAGATTATAATGTCACTGACAGAGCCCAGGGTATATTTCATCTTTATCTATAGCCAATGATGGTTACAAACTCAGTACAAATTTTTATGTTTGTACCTTTCCTCTTAACTTTTACAAAGCCATTGCACACAGGCATATGGAGACTGTAGAATAACCTCTGTACTATCGCTATAGAGAGAAAAAAGGCACAGAGGACCTTTCTAGAACCTGAAATTTGTTTTCGTAATTGTTTTTAAAAACAAGATTCCATTCTTTTTTTATACTACATTTTGCTTTTTCATTGATCTCAGATATTCACTGAAATTATGTCATGCATAAAGTAGAAAAACTGAACCTACAGATCCTTGCCAGTGAATGAATCTCAAATTCACTGATTCACTCCTTCAATGTTGAGTACTTACTATGTGCTAGAAAATATGAAAAGAAAACTATTAAGTAGGAAATAAGAATGTAACCTAGTATTAAATATATTGTACTTGAATAAGGGATAGGAAGCACAAATTCAGATAAATTACAATTAAATTCAGTACTAAGAAGATTATTTGATCTATGACTCTTTAAATTCACACTTTAAAAGGACACAAATTACTTATGGGTCCCAAGTTTCAATTCTGATATGAGATATATCTAGATTTGCATTTCTGAATATTGAAAAGCAGAAACACTGAATGCCAATACTCACCTGTGTTATGACAATGAACACGGCAATGCCAGTGGATGCAGGAGTGGAATCCCACTGCAGAGGTCTGCTCTGAGACTTCTTCATTCTGACTATTGTCCAGCCCATGCACAGACTCAGAAGTAGGAATAACATGTGAATTTGGGAAGTGATGTCAAAAACTAATGGGAAATGAAAACCAAAGACAACCAAGTTTTCATAATACAAAGAATGTGGTCCCTCTTGAGTTGAGAATAGAATTAACTTTTAAACTACAAAAAGATGGGCATTTTCAAAGAGAACTGATGAAATTCAATAATAAGATATATTCATATGTAACAATTCTTAAAAAAGTAAAATTTTGCCATTAAATTTGTAAACATTTATGAGAATAGTTAAAGCAAGGTCAATACTCCTGTTTTAGTACATGGACACGCATGCCAATAACACATTTTATTAAGATAAACTTTAGCCCTAGCCGGTTTGGCTCAGTGGATGGAGTGTCGGCCTGCGGACTGAAGGGTCCCAGGTTCGATTCTGATCAAGGGGACATGCCTGGGTTGTGGGTTCAATCCCCAGTTGGGGGCGTTCAGGAGGCAGCGAATCAATGATTCTCTCTCATCACTGATGTTTCTATCTCTCTTTCCCTCTCCCTTCCTCTCTGAAATCAATAAAAATATATTAAAAAAACTTCAAATCTCTGTTTCCCATTTTTCTTAGCTTCTTTAAGTACATAATCCTGTTTATAGCTCACTGCTTATTAAAAGAAACAAATTTTAAATATAATTTCTGCCATGTAAAGAATACTGGTGCCTTCATTTTTCAGTTGCTAATTTTTTTTGATGGCTGAACTACAATTTGAAGAGTATTTTCTAAAACTATTCATAAGAAATAGCATGACAATAAAACACATAGCTGCAGTAACATCCAATTATGTTGGCTTCAGTGTCAGAGTCCTGAGACAAATAAAATACTCCACGCATTAGTGTCATGTGCCACCAGGTGGCCATCACGTACACTGCAGGGAAAGCCTGCTACTTTAAAGAGGATGCAACAAAATCACCTGCATGCACCCTGTTCAGCGCCACAAGAAAAAAATAACCTATAAATAATTCAAGGCCTATTAATTTTAGAAAAGAGTATTTACTGATTTCAAAGAGAGTATCACTTTTCATAGTGTACTTTAATCTGGATTTTAGAATGAACATGTGATCACAATTTAACAAAATAAAACTTTTTTCAAATTGCCATCCGTAACTTTGAGGTCTACAACTTTTAACTTCTTTTATATAAAGAAATTCTTGGAGAAACAGATAAAACTAGTTATAGTCTAATACTTATATTTAAAAGTTACAAGCCAAAAACCTGCCAAAAACCTATTATATATTTTTTTCATATATATTTTGACACATTTCCCCCCTGCTCTGCCATTCAAATTAAAACTGAATACTCTACATTTATGCTTATATATTTGTAATAATGAATTCTGATAATAAACTGTCACTACATTTGAGTGAGATAAAATATAGCCTTTCAGATCAAGCAGTTTTCTTTCATAAATTTTAAATTACTAAAATGCTAATTATTTTTATTAAGCATTTCACAAGTACATATTCAGTTACTTAAAGAAGTCATAGCCAAAGAAATATTTCTACATAAGTTGCTAATCTGCAAAAACAAATACCTGGGGGGAAAAAAACACCTGACTTTTCTGGTTCATTTCTTTACATACTACGTTATACACATCTATAATAATAAAAGCGTAATATGCTAATTAGACCGGATGTCTTTCCGGATGACCTTCCAGACGAAGCCGGGGCTGTGAGGGTACCCCTGGTCCCGGGTGCCAGAGGAAAGCTGGTGCCAGCAGTCAGGGGAAGGAAGGCCTACTCTTGCACAAATTTCATGCATCGGGCCTCTAGTATTGATATAATACTGTAACTTTGAGAATAGGTAGAACAATGTTTATTTGTTGTTAAAAAATAATTAATTGTAGGTAAAATACACAGATTACACAAAAAGTCCATTCTGCGGGATTTGATTAAAAATCTTAAAATTCTTAAAATGTTAACCATTTAACTAACCAAACCTGTTGTCAAAACTACCAAAATGAATAAGATTTACTGCAGTTTTACTAAAAAAAAAAAAAAAAAGACTTTTGCTTTGCCCGGCCAACGTGGCTCAGCGGTTAAGCGTCGATTTATTTATTTATTTATTAATATATTTTCATTGATTTCAGAGAGAGAGAGGGAGAGAGAGATAGAAACATCAATGATGAGAGAGAATCATTGATTGGCTGCTTCCTGCATGCCCCCAACTGGGGATCAAGCCCTCAACCTGGGCATGTGCCCTTGGCAGTAATTGAACTCGGGACCCTTCAGTCCGCAGACCAATGCTCTATCCACTGAGCCAAATTGGCTAGGGCTAAGCGTCAATTTATGAACCAGGAGGTCAAGGTTCAATTCTCAGTCAGGGCATATGCCTGGGTTGTGGGCTCGATCCCCAGTGTGGGGCCTGCAGGAGGCAGCTGATCAATGATTCTCTCTCATCATTGATGATTCTATTTCTCTCTCCCTCTCCCTTCCGCTCTGAATCAATAAAAGTATTTTTTTTTTAAAAAAGATTTGCTTTTTAACCCACAGTGAAGATACATAGTGTAGACACTTGCTGTCTATTTTAAGATTCTAAAAATCTTCTAGAACCTTTCATTTTCTTTGTGAAGAGAATGTGTACTGCTCCTCTCTTGGGCATGAATAAGAGTTGCTTCTCCTTTTTTAACATCATCTAGAGCCCTTTTTACCCCCAAAGTTTCTCACACTCTTTTCTCTTAGATGACTCTGAATGTTTAATAGAAACATAGAACATTTTAAAGCTGGACAGAGCTTAAATAATTTAGCTTATGCATTTTAGATGAGGAAATTGAGGCCTAAAGAGGCAAAACACATAGAAGCCCATCAAAACACATAGGAGCCCATCAAAGGCAAAGCTGCAAGGTCAGCTCAGTTATACTCTATGGCTGTGGGTCAGAAAAGAGGGAAAAAAGTTTTTTAAAAAAGGTTAAAATAGGGAAAAAACTTCAGTTCTGGGTCAGAAAACTTGCGTCTGAGTCTTGGCTCTGCCACTCAACAGCTGACTGACATTTGGAAATATGCTTCATGCCACTGAGCCCTGATTCTTTATCTGCAAAACAGGAATAAGCAAACCTATACCTTACTGAGGTTTTATTGAGGATAAAATGGAAGAACACATATGAATATGTTCTAAAACCAATGAACAACTACACACATTGCCTATTATTAAGAAGAAACTAAATAGGGTATATGGGAACTAAAACTGTAGCCCTGTGTTCAGTCATGTTAAATTCAAACCAACCTTGAATAGAAAAATTGTATTAGGACAGAAATAATTTACAAAAAAGAAAAACAAACAAGAAGTAGATAGCAAGTTTACATTAAAAAATAAATAAAAGGCTCAAAAAGATACTCACCTTCTGCCAAACTTCCCATAAAAGGTAACCCTATTCCATCTTTGGAGTAACTGAGGAATTGAAGAGGAGAGTATCAGTATAAATTACAAGTGTGAAAAAAAATGTTTATAATCAAATCAAGCATAATTTTGGTGGACTAATTAGGATTAATTAGACGTAATGATGAACACAGTTTTAGTGGTTGTAAGTTACCTGGAGAAATGAATGTAATTAGCTAAAGCTGAACCAGCTTGTAACAGCAATGCAGTTGTCAGAACCTTTAAAATCATGTGCATGGGTCCTCCTTTATTAATAGCCTGCCACAATGATTGAGCATAAATGCAAGCAATCACAAAGTACACTAGGACTAGGAGGAAAAAGAACTCATGTAACCCTGTGAAGAGAAGAAAGGAGTTTGCTTCAGTAAAACAAGCCAGTTATAGTATTGGGTTGCTTTCAAACTTCCTATCAATACATTTCTAGAACTTGTTTTTTAACTGAAATCATAGCATTCACTTTTGTGAGAGGGGAAACAAAGGAGATCAATGGTGCCAGTCGTTAAGCGGCCTCTCGCTCCCTCCTACTAGCAGCTTTTCAGTTCAGACTTCCTGCATCTTCATGATAAATCCCTCCCACCCCTTTCTTGCATTACCTGGAATATTTTGACTGTCTTAATTTTTCAGAAATTTCAGAAAATTTTTATAATAAACCAGAAGGCTAGCTTTGAGTTTAATGAATTACATTTACTTGGTTACATCTAAAGTTAGTCTTCAATATTAGGGCTTTTATATCCTATGTAAATAACACTAGTGACAGTGGATATGGATAGAGTTGTCTCTATTGAACCTGTGGATGAACAGTCTAAATTGCAATCACTTCCGTTCCAATTGTGAATACCGAACCTACTCCAATTCTCATTTGTGGGAAACTCCAGCCAAAAGGCAGAGAAGGGAATATTTCCATTATATGAAAAATAATTTTAGAAAAGCAATCCAGATACTAATAGGAAAAATAGTCAATAAACAGTTCAATCTCAATCATGTTTTTGGCAGGGTTAGGAGAAAAAAAAAGATAAGAAGTATTTCAGCCACTGGGTGTCTCTCCTGCTCTATGTATACAAATGGCGATAGTCCACTCTAGTCCAGGTGAAAAGGCACGTTTACATTTAGTCTTCAGGAAGAGAAAATCAAATAACAGAAAAGGCATATTTGATAAAATTCCCTACATAGAAAAAGTATTCAGCTTTAGAAATAAAGGGACAATAAACCTGGGATTGTAATAGTAATGGAACAAGATGGAAAACATGCTGATTATATTATAACTCAGTAAAATTCTTTTTGCTAGCTTGTGTTTTAAATCCTAGTTTTTATCTTTCATTCTTAGTATAAAGAATTAAACATGGCATTCTATTTAAAGTTTTACTTATTTATAATTCTGTACAGAATATCCATTACAAGGTAAAGTTTTAGACTTCATTAGGTTACAAAGCCAGCATGAAAAGAAAATCCTCAGACGATTTACTGAGTAATCAGAATAACATAGGAGAAGGAAGAAATTTTGAAAATAAGACATGTCACCAGCAAAAAAGTGTTTTAGGATTATTCAAGATTAAGTGTATCTTTTGAAAAATCTAACATTATAATCAACAAATTATTTCATTGAAGTAATATATTAAATACCTTGAACTAGGTCATTTGTCCTACACTTAGTTCATTGAATTTTGCATAAATTATTTTTACCATGACCCTGTCCACAAAACACTTTAAAACTTTTTTTTAAAAATATATTTCATTGATTTTTTACAGAGAGGAAGGGAGAGAGATAGAGAGCTAGAAACATTGATCAGCTGCCTCCTGCACACTCCCCACTGGGGACGTGCCCGCAACCAAGGTACATGCCCTTGACCGGAATCGAACCTGGGACCTTTCAGTCCGCAGGCCGACGCTCTATCCACTGAGCCAAACCGGTTTCGGCCACAAAACACTTTAAAGATAAAACATGAATTCTGCCCTCTGTGTTCTTTTAAATAAATCACCTTTAGAAAAAAAAAAATCTTTTTTCTCTTCAGCTATCAATTTTACTTTTGTTCTGCCACCATCCTTCACAAGAAAGCAATCTATGTTCACTTTGAAATTAAAATCTAATTTTAAAACAGATGGGTACTAGGTATTAAATTTTACCTACACATGAAAGAAGAAAAATGCTCTTAAATGAGCATGCAACAAGTGACAAACTCTTATATTATTAGGAAATGTATAGACTTTAAGGCAGTGGTTCTCAACCTTCTGGCCCTTTAAATACAGTTCCTCATGTTGTGACCCAACCACAAAATTATTTTTGTTGTTACTTCATAACTGTAATGTTGCTACTGTTATGAATCATAATGTAAATACCTGATATGCAGGATGGTCTTAGGTGACCCCTGTCAAAGGGTCATTCGGCCACCAAAGGGGTCGTGACACACAGGTTGAGAACCGCTGCTTTAAGGCAAGCTTAATAGGAAGAAGCATTGGCAACATTCAGTAGTAAGAAAACTTAACAGGACAGCTTTAAAAACTTCAGCTCTAGCCCAGCTGGTGTGGCGCAGTGGTTGAACATCAACCCATGAACCAGGAAGTCACAGTTCAATTCCCAGTCAGGGCACATGCCCAGGTTGCAGGCTCGATCCCCAGTAGGGGGCATGTAGGAGAGAGCCGATCAATGATTCTCTCCCATCACTGATGTTTCTCTCTCTCCCTATCACTCTCTCCCTCTCCCAGCCTCTCTGGAATCAATAAAAACATATTAAAAAGAACAACACAAAAACTTCAGCTCCAACTAAAATGATAGGAGATGGGAGACAAGAGGGTAAGAGAAGGGAAGAGAGTCACTGGGTCACAGGCAGCACCTGGGACACTCTAGCCTACCCATGATGCTTGCTCTCTCAGAGGCACAGGGTCCATCCTGCCCTCAAGTGTCTCAAGATATATCTTAACTAGAGGCCTGGTGCATGAATTCGTGCATGGGTGGGATCAGGCCGAACTGCCTGATGGGGGCCCATCAGGCCGGGCCAGCCAGGGGAAGGGGCTACGGGCAGTTGGCTGGCTGGGCCGGCTGCGGGTGGGCCGATCTGGCTCCGGATCAGGCTGGTTGGCTGCCGCAGTGCGCATTGTAGTCACCGGTCGTTCCGCTGTTCCAGTCACTGGGCTTTTATATATATAGACTAGAGGCCCGATGCACAAAATTTGTGCACGGTGGGGGGGGGTGTCCCTCAGCCTGGCCCGCACCCTCTCCAATCCAGGACCCCTCAGGGGATCGGGGGATGTCCGACTGCCGGTCACACCCTAGAGCACTCCCGTGGTCCCTCCCCGGCTGGCCACCCTCCCGCGTCCCTCCCCAGCCCTGATGGGGACCCTCGGCCTGGCCTGCACCATCTTGAAATCCAGGCCCCTTCAATCCAGGACCCTTTGGGGGATGTTGGAGAGCTGGTTTCAGCCTGATCCCGCAGGCCAGGCCGAGGGACCCCACTGGTGCACGAATTTGTGCACCGGGCCTCTAGTGAAAAATAAATGCCAACATCTTTCAGAAAGATAAAAGAAATGGTAGCATTGACTTAACTTCTAATAGTAATCTACAATTGTTAGTGTAGGTAGCTAGATATTAATAAAGGAAGGAAGCAAAGGGAATCAGACATCAAGTCTAATAAACTAGAGAGCTGAATCAGACAATAAACCTGCTTCATTAGGGAGTTACAGCTTCACACACTCTCCAGGAGACCACTGCTTCCTCTATCCTCAGGACCTAACAGGCAGGAAGGATCTTTTAGTCAGATTACTGAGGGAGAGATAAAATAGAAGAAGAAATTCCTCTACTGGGCACATGTGCAGTAGAAGCCAAGATGGCACAGGGAGAGAGGTTCCTCCATTCCTCCACTTTCAGTCTAACATCTAACAAATTCCGTCTCCCTCTCCCTCTCCCTCTCTCTCTGTAGCACACTCTTGCCCCATGGTTTCTCTCGCATGTTCTCTCTCCATAGCAGTCATATGGCCCTAGCAGCCAGCAGCCAGAAGCTGTGGAACTCCAAGCATCGGCCTGCCACAGCAGCAGCCCAAGTGCAGCCAGGAACAGACTAAGCTAGCTGGGTAAGGTCAGAGGCTAAACTGGAGTGAGGTGCAGCATGGCAAAATTTTTGGACACTGGCCTTTGTTCTGGGCCTGATGAAGACAAGGCTGGTCATTTTCCACAGTGGGTCGGATGGAGATGACACCCCAGGAACCTAGGGAATGCTTTCCATTTCAACCCCAATAAATTTTTTTAAATATATTTTATTGATTTTTTTACAGAGAGGAAAGGAGAGGGATAGAGTTAGAAACATCGATGAGAGAGAAACCTTGATCAGCTGCCTCCTGCACACCCACTCCTGGGGATGTGCCCGCAACCAAGGTACATGCCCTTGACCGGAATCAAACCTGGGACCTTTCAGTCCACAGGCCGACACTTTATCCACTGAGCAAAACCAGTTAGGGCAATCCCAATAAATCTTACAACACCACCTCAACCTCCCATGGGTGGATCCCTAAAAAGGCTTTTCTTATTTCTACTGGCAACACAATGATCCAAACTACCATTAGGACTGACTTAACTTCCAATAACACTATACAATGACCCAAACTACCATTAAGTAAAAATAACCTTTAGGTTAATTTGCGTTCAAAACAACTTGAGTAGCTTATCCTTATGAAATTTCCTTTACACAAAAAACTTTCAGAATTTACTATTTTAAAACATTTAGCATTTCATTTTGTCACTATATAGATATATATTTTTCAGACCAAAAGATATTTAAGAGAGGCCAACCCCAAAACACTGCCACCCAGAGGCTGAGCCACAAACTGACTCTTAGGTGAATACAAAAGATATTTTAAAAAAAGTTGATCTCTTCATACATTTACTTGTAACCTGTTGTCCTTAACACATGCTCCTTGAGTTGCTTTTCTGTGGCAATTTATATTTTGAACTAAACAATCAGTTTTGTATAATGTAGCCTCAGCTCCTGTTCTACCTCCACCCATCCACCTTGATGGCCAATGAGATGTAATGGGATTAAATTTTTCTCTAAGCAGATTGACTCTTCCAAATGGCTAATGAACTCATGAATCTTATTTTCTTTGACAGATGGCCTACAGGTTTTAGTTTTCATTCTGACATGTTAATTTACAAATCTATTAGGATACTTTCTGGCGTGTCTATCATGAATCACAAGAAATCATTCATTTCTGTTTGGGCTAAGTATCTCATTTCAGTAGTACCATATAATCAACCTAAAATTTTGATGAAAAATTTAATGGGAGTACACCTAATTTTGGAAAGCATTATAAACTTTGATGATTCTTAAAATAGTTGAAAGCTCCAATAAATACAATCCTTAAATCTGCTCAACCTATTAAAAGGATAGTCATACAAAGTAGCACAGTTCTAATCCCTCATGGAGTTTTCAATTTCAGTTACTTAATTTATTAATATTTTTCTGTTTATAAAAATAATGCTAGGTTATCATTTTTTAAAGATTTAGAATATATAGGATAAAATAAAATTGTAAATTTCTACCACTTAACATGGTAATAATCTGTTAATATTCTGTACTTCTTTTCTGCATTTCCTAACATACTCCAAATCATACAGTATAAAATTTAGTGTTTTGCCTTTTTAACTTAATAGCATAGCTATTAAAATGCTATAAGGAGATTCATTTAATCATTTCTCTGCTATTAGACACGTTTTTAATTTTTAATATCTAAAAACATAAAAAAATTTGTGCGTACTGGTAGATCTTTTTCTGTATTTAGGATATATATTTAAATGTATATTCTTACCAGATTCTCCAGCACTAAAATGATCAAGTGGATTCCCTTCAGCATCCGGGTTTAGTAACATCATTTCAAATGGTATATCTTCCACCTGAGAATTCTCATTGTCATCTTTGCACGTATACTTGTCTGCATAAAATACGTGCCATGTTTGTGGATACGGAATCTGGGATACTGTCAGATTATGTTCAGTCTGATTCATGGTCACTTTAAAGAGAAAGAAGATAGCACTTTCAAAGCAAAACTCTCACATGTATTTGTTTTAGTCATACAATCAGTTTGAAGTTAGAATTCTCTTAATTCTTTTTTTGTTTTAAGTTTTTTTGTTTTGTATTTTTATTGATTTGATATCAAAGAGGAAGGGAGGAGGAAGAGATAGAAACATCAATGAGATAGAATCATTGACCGGCTGCCTCCTGCATGCCCCCTACTGGGGATCAAGCCCCCAACCTGAGCATGTGCCCTGACCTTGAATTGAACCACGATCTCCCAGTTCATAGGTTGAAGCTCAACCACTGAGCCACACCTCTTGTTTAATTCTTATAGCCTTAGAAATTCAAAAGTTGTTGTAGTATTGGCATATGGTCTGTATATCATGAAGCAGAGAAAAATAATGTATCTTAACCAAAGGAATCACTATAATAGTACTCTGAAACACCACAAATGAGCAGAATGATTTTGCTGAAACTCTGATTTTTAATTTTAAATGTTTCAAATTTTTCAAGTAGGTTAGTGACATTAAAATTTTTTAATTAAATTTATTAGGGTGACATTGGTTAATAAGATTACATAGGTTTCAAGTGCACATAATCTTAACATTGATTAAAAAGATTATATAGGTTTCTATGATACATGATCTGTATATTGCATTGTGGTAAAATATACAAAAAACAAGTTACCATTTGAACGATTTTTAAGTGTTCAATTCTGTGGCATTAAATACATTCAAAATGCTGTATAACCACCACAATGACATTTTTGAAAACTGATTTGAGTTAAATTTAAAAGGGAACATTCAACTTAGAAAATCATATCTAATAACTATGACTGACAAATACCTTCAAAAGATTTCCAAAATCTTTTTCTAATTGTCAATTCTTAAAAAAGGCACTAAAAGCAAAAAAAAGAAAAAGAAATTATAAGAATTATAAGTCACTAGCAGTGATTCTGAGTTATTACACTGGTCAGGTCTATATGGTGGCAGGAGAGAGGGGACTCATGAATGTTGGCATCACACAAAGCTGTACTTGATCCTGGCTCCAATACTTACCTTCCATGTGACCTTGGGCAAATTACATAGCAATGACTCACTTTCTTCAGCTGTAAAACGAAGGTAATACTTAGAGCAAAGAGCTGATGTAAGGACCAAATTATATGTCACTTGGCATGGTATCTGTCATATGATTGTTGCTGAATAAAGATTTATTCTCTTTTTCCTTTCTTTAAAACAGGATGGTTACACTAACAAGTGGTTCTCAATACAGGGTAATCCTTTTCCCTTCTGGGGAATCTGAAAATGTGTAGGGACAGTTTTACTGTCACAATACTTGAGAAGATACTTGAAGGGGGCCATGCTAAGCCTCATGCAATCCAAAGTCTGACAAAAAAGACCTGTTCCTCCCAAAATGCCAATAGTACCCCCTTTGAGAAACACTAAATGATGTTTAAGATCCCTCCTCAATTCAAATCTATGATGCTGACCTAAGACGCACTTACTAACACTATCACAAAGTTAAAGGAGAGTAGTGTCTCACACACTATATATAATAAGAAGAGTAGAAGAGTTAAAAGAGCAAGTCTTAGCCCTACTACTTAACAACATATGTCTCAGCAAATAAATTACTTAACCTCTCTAAATTTGTTTTTCAGTAGTACAATTAAGATACCTGCCCTAGCTAGCACAGAGGGGAGCAAATGAGGTAATATATGAAAATCCTATGTAAAGAGTCTCATTCTGTACAAAGTCAAGTATTCTTAAAATTTAGAATTATCATAGGCCTGATTCCCAACTCTAGACTTCCTGCACAGCATGCCAACTAGTCTCAAACTATTTCTCAACTGAAGGAAAAAACTTTTTAATAAATAAAAGGCATGTCTTGAGATAACTGTGGAAATTTGTATATGAAAAATATTTTAGAGGACAGTATGGAATAATTCACTTTAAGAAATCTTAGCTGTAGTACAGTATTTCAGTTAAGGAGAAGAATGTCCTTACTCTTATACAAGAGGCTGAACTATGGTGGGTTGAACTGCTCATGACACCCACAGCTTATTTTCATGTGGCTTGATTACAAACAAAAATCACACACATACAAACACAAAGCAAATGTAACAAAGTATTAACAATTACTGAATCTAAGCAAAGGATGTACAAGTGGTGGTTGTACTTTATTTTTTTTCTGATTGTGTAATTTATTTATTATAATTTTTCAAATAGTATAGGTTGTACTTACTTTAAACTTTTCTGTATGATTGAAAATATTCCTAATAAAATTAGGAAAAATGTTGTTTATATAAAGTTGTCTTTATAAGTGAAACACTTGATGCATCTAGTCAGGATTCAAATTTTGAGGACTTGGACTTTATAATTAGGAATTTCATTAATAGCAGTTTAAATGGACAAGATGATTTTTATCAACAATACTACAGCATTGTTTTTCTTGCTATCTAAATTTAGCTGACATTTATACTGTTGTTGTTTTTTTAACTGTACAGCTGCTGGAAAATGTAACAAAGACTCTAATTTCTGTTAAATATTTGAAGACCTTTAGTAAGAATTCAATATACAGTATAATCAATACATGGCTCGCCAGCCCATGTGGCTCAGTGGTTGAGCATTGATCTATGAACAAAGAGGTCACAGTTCAATTCTGATTAGGGCACATCCCCAGTGTGGGGCATGCAGGAGGCAGCTGATCAATGATTCTCTCTCATCATTGATGTTTCTATCTCTCTCTCCCTCTTCCTTTCTCTCTAAAATCAACAAGAATACATTTAAAGAAATACATACATACATACATGGCTCAGAAATAAGGTTTTTGAAATGTACAGCTTGCAATTACAGAATTTGGACCTGATTACATAAAAGCTCTGCAATGTTGCTGTTCTATCACTTGTACTTTTCCTCTTAGATAAAACAATATAAAAATTAGCCATTATATCTTCACCAATACACTTTTAATGTTTCATTTTAAATTACACAGACTTACATCATATTAAAACAAGAGTGTGCTTCAGAAAGTGTTACAGCCTTAACTTTTGGTCTTGCTGACTTTTTCAGCAAGCCTGGGAAATAAGCCTCTTAACAAAACTGTATATTCATTGTTTTTGAGACAAAAGACTACAGCACAGCAGACATGTTCTATGCTGATGTAATCAGTACCTCAAATATTAACAAAACTTGAATTGCAGAGAATAATGTTATATGGCTAATTATCCTATATAATAAAATGCTAATACGCAAATCAACCGAATGGAATGGCGGAACAACTAGTTGCTATGACATGCACTGACCACCAGGGGGCAGACACTCAATGCAGGAGCTGCTCCCTGGTGGTCAGTGTGCTCCCACAGGGGGAGCACCGCTCAGCCAGAAGCTGGGCTCACGGCTTGCATCGGCGGTGGTGGGAGCCTCTCCTGCCTCAGTGGCAGTGCTAAGGATGTCCGACTGATGGCTTAGGCCCAGGGAGCAGGCCTAAGTTGTCAGTCAGACATCCCCCAAGGGCTCCCAGACTGCGAGAGGGGGCAACCCCCTCCCCCACACTGCTGAGTGCACAAATATTATAAAATGAAATGAATACTGTTAACAAAAATACACAGCATAATATACTAAAACTTTTAAAGGAATTATAAACATGACAAATGTACAAAAGAAAATATATGCACATGATATACAAAGACATATGAATATGTTTTATATGCAAAATTATATTTAGCTCTTCTAATCTGACAGTAAGTTATTCTTAATCTCCTTGCTAAATTTTTTTTTACATAAATTTATTTTCAGTGCTTTTAAATGCCTTGTTGGCTTGCTTTAAGACCTACAAAATATTTTATGATTTTTAAAGCTGATGTTTTATGACATTACTAAAAGAGAACAAAGGAAGACTGAAAACTAATTTCTCAAACATTCATTTGGGCGAATGTATACTCAATTGACAAGCCACATTTGACAATAGGGGATTTTTCAAATCTGCTAGTCTTTTCATTGTTCATAGCAGCAGTAAAGTTTTACACAGGCGTTAGGAATAGTTAATGAACTCATTACTAAGTAGGTGAAAGACTATTAATTCTTAAAATCTCACTAATGGCCACAAAATAAGAATTATTTCTACGATAAATTATTTTAAAATGTGGTACTATTACACTGACATGAATTTAAGGACATACTTTTTGTTTCTGTGCACCAAAGCTCCTAAACAATAACAACTAATATATAAGTTAGAGAACATACATTTTCTTAAGACTTGGCTTTTGTTATTGGAAAAATACCTGATGAAATAAGTAGAAAGTGATTTATGTCTCACTAGTATTTAATTTACTTCAGGACCCAAAATTTAACAAAACAATCTTCTTCCTCAAAAATTCCTGTTTCTTGAGATCTTCTGTTCCAATAATTCCAAAGAATACTCTTGTACTCAAGAGAGTGGGGAATTGAAAGGGAAAATAAAAAAAGAAACAACAGCAAGAGGTTTTTTAAGTTACAGCCCTATGTATATGCAACTCCATCCTAAAGAATTATAATTAGAATCACAGCATTTTGGGAGTTTCAGAAACCTTAGAAAAAACTAGTCCAGATTCCTTGTTTACAGATAAGTAAAGTGTGGCTCAAGTGTAAGTCACTAGCAGTGATTTTCAGTTTAGCAGTCTTTCCATTGTACCATACTGTCTTCCTGTATACCTAAGTTCTGTGACTGAAGGCATATTATGACTGATACAAAAATTATGCTTTTGCAAGTGTATATAGTATGGGCCATGTGATATAAAGAAACAAATCCTTCCTACAGCTCAAAGCTTTAAACTACCTGGTAAGTTTTTATTGGAGAAAGAAAAAGACTTTGAGGTATCCAATACAACCACCTACCAACCAAAAAAACCCTCAAGCACTAAGGTCTATGATAACTCACCCTACAAATATTTAGTAAATGCTTATTAACTCAGCACTAGAGAATCCTGAATTCTCATTCTCATAGTACCACATAACTAACATCCATAATACTTATCACAGTTGCAGTATCACACTTACGGTGATGTGATTCTTTCCTGTCACCCACTAGCCTTATGGACTCAGAGTGTCAGTATTTTGGTCCATGATTTATCACTAGTGCCTAGCATACTACATGAAACAATAGAAATGCTCAGTGAGTGAATGAATAAATGAATGAATGAATAGACCAAAAGAGCACTGGTACCCTTACTGATTGCTTTTATAACAAATAAATAAAATGAAAAGTGGTAACTATAATAAGTGCTGTAGGGAAAATAAGAGGCTATAAAAACTCAAGTGTTAACTTAGAGGAAGGAGAAGCCAAAGAAGGGAGGGAATAACAAGAAGAGGAAAGCCTGTATAAAAGTCCAGAATAACACAAAAATTAAACAAGCACTACAGATAAAATGAGGCAGGAGGGGGCATTACTGTGAAATGAAGCTGGTGGGGAGGGGCCGGTAAGCAATGGCCAGACAGAGAAGGATTAGCATGGCTACAGTGACCAGGTAGGAGGCTACTGCAATAGTATAGGCAAGAGATTATGGCAACCTGGAATAACATGGTAGAGGTGGAGATGAAGAAAATTAGATGAATTCAAGAGCTATTCGGAGAGGGGAGTGTTGGAAAACTCCTTGGTTTCCAGCTTGTGTCCGAGATGGATGGTAGTGCCAGTTCCTACAACTGGGAACACTGACAGAGGACCAGGTTTGGATGGGCAAGGACTATTGATACATATGTGGAACATTCAGGTGAGCAAACTGGTGTATAAAGAAAAAAAGATAATTGGTAATGAGCATTTGCACGAATTTCTCAGGTAAGTTCTGAAATTCAGGGTTGAGGTATCTAACTTTATATAACTGTCTCTCCTTAAGTCATGCAGACTTCTTCAGCATACTGTCAAAGTCGTCTCACAAATCTAAATAAAAGATCCCCACAATGGGTGGCAAGGACTGGAGACTTCTACTCTTATCCCTATTCTGGCTCGCTGCCTTATGAGGGAACCAGAGAGCTGCTAAGGCTAGGAAGACTGGGTGTTTAGAAATGGCAATGTTTTACTTGACTAGACTAAAAGAAGATTCAGAGATCCATCAATACGGAAAACAGGACAGAGAAAACATAGAGGAGAAAAGGGAAGAGAGATAATTTCCATTTTTTCTCATGGATGCTTCATATTCCTAATGACAAGAATGGCACATGCTTGTCATTTCTATATTAAAAAGTCTGTACTCACTCTGGATGGCTAACAACCCTAATGCATGAGATGGTGTTGATGAGAATGGAAGAGCTCAAGGATACAGATAGCTAGAATAAAAGCAGTACCTCTCTAGAGGCAAACCTAAAGGTTTACAAATGATGTGTTACTGGTACATCCTAAAATGACATACTGTGTCACCACATGACGAGGTCCTATGTTCCAATAACATGTTGCAAAACAACATTGCTTGGGCTATCTTAGACAAGTAACTGAGATAATACCTGTTTAGTGCTTAGCTCAGTGCTGGCAGATAATAAGTACTCAACAAATTCACTCCGTGCTGCCACTGGGTCAAAATATATCTGCCACATTCGTATGAATAATGTGACCTGTAAGAAGTCTGAATGAAGGAAAAAGTATGTCCTTGCAAGTTATTTGGATATATTTTCAAATATTTTGCATGATAAAGGGGGAAAAGGGCATTCTATCTTTTAATCAAGGAAAAGGTCAGTTTCCTTAAACTTCAGTTTAAAACATACCAAAGTATCACCACAGTGTGTTCTTTAAATTCCCACTTTGATAAGTAGAAGTGAATTGTCCTACTATCTTGTAATGTGTGCTATGTCATGAAACACCCTGGTATGCAAACACTACATTTAACATTAAGGAGGAAAAAAGATATACCCAAGAATCAAATAAAAAAGGATATACTCACTTGTCAACTGAGCTTTGGATAATTTTTCGCTACAACTATAACCATTACTGTTTTCCTGCAGCTTCAGCCATTCCTGGGCTTGGAATAGGTGGAGTTTAGCTTCTTTTCCAACAGCTACTGCTACGTTGTTAACTCTGACACACAGAAGAGCATGATCACCTGGACATTGAAACAAAAATCATCAATTAGTTTGGTCTTGTATGAAAGCAAGATAGTAGGACAATTCACTTCTACTTATCAAAGTGGGAATTTAAAGAACACAATTTTTCTTAAATCTCACTTAACTAGGTAGATAACATTAGAATGAACATCCCATTCAGATGCAAGTCAAGAGATTATGCACATTAATTATCCAAATCAATGTGCGGCCTTTCCTTATACTTCAACTAACTGATGACATTTCATTGAATAAACAACATTGGCTGTATGTGCATCTTCACTGTAATAGAATTTGTGCCTCATTTTACAACCACTGCACGTCTTTAACATCTGTTCATAAATTATCTATAGAAATTTACTAAGTTTCTTTTGTTTTTCAATATAACACGGCTGTTAATATTGAATTATACTTTTTATTTTTTTTTTTTTCAGAGACGAAGGGAGAGGTAGAGATATAGAAACATCGATGATAAGAGAGAATCACTGATCGGCTGCCTCCTAATATTTTATTGGGGATAAAACCCTCAACCTGGGCAAGTGCCCTGACGGGGAATCAAACCCTGACCTCCTGGTTCATAGGTCAATGCTCAACCACTGAGCTGTGCTGGACAGGCAATTGAATTATACTTTTAATGTAAAAAAGTAAGCATAGCTAATAGCAAGGAAGTTTAAATAAATGAGGTGTGGGGTAGACATCTTATACCTGACAAAATCTGACATGTGACTTTTACAATACAACTTTCAGAATATGTTGTAAGACTACTATAGAATGAGCCTGGCTGCACACATCAGCTACATTTAAGGCCCAAAAATAAAGGTCAGAAAAATAGATGCTCCTATGGAAATGGACTCTGGGTGAGAAGTAAAGCAGGAGACTGATTTTTCATTTTAAAATTATCTTATTGTTTTTACTTTTGTTATAATTATCATTTTGATTAAACATTTTAAGTAAATTTAAATGTATAGTATGTATCAAAGAATGTGTAAGTCTCCTATATAAATTGATTACATTTTAAATTATAAAAAGCCCTGGCCGGTTTGGCTCAGTGGATGGAGCGTCGGCCTGCAGACTGAAGGGGCCCAGGTTCGATTCCGGTCAAGGGCACATGCCGGGGTGGTGAGCTCAATCCCCGGTGGGGGGGCGTGCAGGAGGCGGCCGATCCATGATTCTTTCTCATCATTGATGTTTCTATCTCTCTCTCTCCCTCTCTCTTCCTCTTTGAAATCAATAAAAAATATATTTAAAAAAATTATAAAAAGTTAAGAATGACTTTAAGGTCCTATTAACACCTTAAATTGCATTCTGAATCAGAGTTCATTATTTCAGTATAGTTGTGGTATTATTTTATTAACCTTGCATTAAATGAAAATTGCAATTATACACACACACACACACACACACACACACACACACAGAGGGGGCCATGGGGAGAGGGGGAGAGTGTTAAAATACTTGGATCACTCTATTCTGCAAGCTTTCTTGAGAAATCTTACTACATATGTCTCTCCTGTTTACCAGGTAATCATCATGATGACTGTCTAAGTCTTGCTTCTAGACATGGGTAATAACCCATGTCATAGCTTCCATACATTCTACACCTTCCAGCACTGTCCAGATTGTGCCATTTACTGTAGTGATATTGCTTTCATTGTCAAACTCAAAGTTGATTAAGAAACGTAAAATGTTATCTAAAAAATAAAATTCTGGCCTTAGCAGGTTTGGCTCAGTGGATAGAGCGTCAGCCTGCGGAGGAAAGGGTCCCGGGGTAGATTCCGGTCAAGGGCACATACCTTGGTTGGAGGCTCCTCCCCTGGAGGGGCCCTGGTCAGGGCTCATGCAGGAGGCAACCAATCAATGTGCTTTCTCTCATCCATGTTTCTCTGTTTTTCCCTCTCTCTTGCACTTTCCCTAAAAATTAATGGAAAAATATCCTCAGGTGAGGATTAACAACAAAAATAAATAAATGAAATAAAACTCTGTTTCTAGAGTTTCTATTTTATTCACCCAAGATCTATTCCACATTGGATTTTGGAAAACTGGGTTGCATCTCCTTTTCTCAGCTATTTTGAAAACTTTGGGTTAAAAAAACAAAACACTTCCCTCCCTTGAACCACCAATTCTGTAACTTTCCAATGCTTTAAATTGCTCTCTCACACAAAATAGCTTCTCATTTCTATTTTCTTCTCTTAAGAATCCTCTCTAGGATAATATTCTTATTTTTAACTCCAAAGACTATGTAAATCAAGGATCCTAGCCCCATCAAGGCAAATAATTGTTTAAAATATAGTAGTAGTCAAATTAAGAGTACCAAGAGTGTGTACCAAAAAAAATCTTGAGGATACAAGTGAATTCAGTAAAAATGAGGATAAACTGTAAGTTCATTCATTGTTGACTTACTGATTTTTGAAGAAGACCAGAAGATAAGAATCGAATGCAGTTCTGATTTCAGAAGAGCCAGAGAGGACTCAAATTATGAAGCTCCCAGGACACACTTTCATGCACTTCTGTCAACGTAATTCTAGGCCTAGTGATTCATAGTTAATCTCCTCCTTTTTTTTTTTTAAATATATTTTATTGATTTTTTACAGAGAGGAAGGGAGAGGGACAGAGAGTTAGAAACATCAATGAGAGAGAAACATCGATCAGCTGTCTCCTGCACACCCCCTACTGGGGATGTGCCCGCAACCAAGGCACATGCCCTTGACTGGAATCGAACCCAGGACCCTTCAGTCCACAGGCCGATGCTCTATCCACTGAGCCAAACCGGTTAGGGCTTAATCTCCTCCTTTAGTAGCAGAGTAACTAAACTGTTCTAGCAATAGTGACAACTAGATTACCAGGTGTTTTATCTAGTTTCCAAAACCTCTTTGTTGTAAGCACTTTTTATAGAATTGATCTTAATAACAAACCCAAGAAATCTACATTCTGGGGCTTAAACTCACACGCAATTACAGTGCCTCAGTGCAGTGGTTCTCAACCTTCCTAATGCCGCGACCCTTTAATACAGTTCCTCATGTTGTGGTGACCCCCAACCATAAAATTATTTTCATTGCTACTTCATAACTGTAACTTTGCTACTTATGAATCGTAATGTAAATATCTGATATGCAGGATGTATTTTCATTGTTACAAATTGAACATAATTAAAGCATAGTGATTAATCACAAAAACAATATGTAATTATATATGTGTTTTCCGATGGTCTTAGGCGACCCCTGTGAAAGGGTCGTTCGACCCCCAAAGGGGTCGCGACCCACAGGCTGAGAATCGCTGCCTTAGTGTGTATATATAATCAGGTTGAGCCAGAAGTGAGCAACTGATGCTTCTTTGAGGGAAGGATCTCGAAAAATGCAGCAGGCGTGTCATCTCTACTACGTCTGTATGGGAGGGTCGGAGGAACGATCTTTTAAGTGCAAATACAATCCCCAAGCGGGGAGAGGGTGCTAACGAGGTGTAGGGAGCAGTCATAGCAGGGGTCGCAGTAAATGCCTCCCCGGATGCCGCTGAGCTGCGGAAAGAGGAGGGCTGTGGGCGACGCTGCGAGTCCAGGTGAGCTGCGTGAAGTTCCCGGCCTGGCCACTCGGGGCCAGGATCCCCG